CCTCACCTCCCCAGACAAGGACGCCTTAGTGTCGTACAAGTTCCGCTGGATGGAGGCGGACTCCGATCCCATGGACAACCAGCTGACCAAGGAGGAGTTCATGGCTTTCCGCCACCCGGAGCACAGCAAGCGCTCGCTGGAGACCATGGCGCGCAATGTCTTCCGAGGAGTCGGTCAGTGGGGGTCATGGTGTGGGTGGTTGGCGGGTGCTCTGGTGTGGTTTGCTCCTTCTTTCCTATCAAACATCTATTGTCCTTATCTCCCCTTCTTCCTTTTTATGTTTGCTACTCTCTTGTAACACCTCTAATCTTCTGGCGCTCATATGACCTTATTCAGTTGCGAGCGCCGTAAAAACCTCTACTAAAACAGTGGGGGTGTCTCAGGATCACTGGGGATCGCCACAGGGTCAATTTGGTCGTCGCAGGGTCAGATGGGTAGTAGGTTAGTGGGGGACCATGGCTCGCAACGTCTTCCGAGGAGTTGGTCAGTGGGGGTCCTTACAGGGTCACTGGGGTCGTCACAGGGTCACAGGGGTCATGGGTCGGTTGGATACCTTTGTTGGAAATGTCTTCCAAGGAGTAGGTCAGTGAGGGTCGTCACAGGGCCGCTGGGGTCATGGGTTGGTGGGAGACCATGGCTGGGAATGTCTTCCGAGGAGTCAGTCAGTGGGGGTCGTTGGGTCCCCGTGGGCCAGTAGGGTCATTGAAGTAGTCACAGGGTTCGTGGGGTTACAAGGTCACTATGGTCGTCATAGGGTCACTGGGGTTGTTGATCAGTATGGTTGCTGGGAGACCATGGGAGGGAACGTTTCCTGAGGAGTGGGTCCCTGGGGTCATTGGTCACTCAGGTCGCTGCGGTGGGTGAGGTCTGTAGGTTTGGTTGTTCAGTTGGTCCGGTGGGTTTGTTGAGTCGATGGGATTAGTGGGTTGGGTTGGAGATCAGGGCCCAGAACATCTTCAGAGGAGTTGGTTAAAGGGGTCATTGAGACCTAGTTTTCTCTAATGACCTTTTCCATCTTTTGATCTGCGCTTCTCTTATTTCTCTTTCCATTGTTGACCTCATTTGGTTTGTACCTGACTTTTGCCCTCTCCCCTGCTGACCTCTGCCCTCTCTCCTGCTGACCTTTGCCTTCTCCACTGTTGACCTAATTTAATCTGTGCTGTCCTTTGCCCTCTCCACTGCTGACCTTTCTCTCTCCACTGCTGACCTTTCTCTCTCCACTGCTGACCTTTCCCCTTTCCCCTGCTGACCTTTACCCTCTCCACCGCTGACCGTTGCTCTCTCCCCTGCTGACTTTTACGATCTCCCTTGCACTGCTGACCTTCGCCTTCTCCCCTGCTGAACTTTGCCCTCTCCTCTCCACTACTGACCTTTCTCTCTCCACTACTGACCTTTCTCTCTCCACTACTGACCTTTCTCTCTCCACTGCTGACCTTTGTCCTCTCCACTGCTGACCTCTGCCCTCGCCACTGCTGACCTTTGCCCTCTCCCCTGCTGACTTTTACGATCTCCCTTGCACTGCTGACTTTTACGATCTCCCTTGCACTGCTGACTTTTACGATCTCCCTTGCACTGCTGACTTTTACGATCTCCCTTGCACTGCTGACCTTTGCCTTCTCCCCTGCTGAACTTTGCCCTCTCCTCTCCACTGCTGACCTTTGCCCTCTCTTCTCCACTGCTGACCTTTGCCCCTTCCACTGCTGACCTTTGCCCTCTCCCCACAGACACCAACGACGACAAGGTGATCACGGAGGACGAGTTCATCATGCTGCCTCCCGGGGAGGTGGAAAACGAGGAGTACGCGGAGATGGACAGAAAGTGGCAGGAGGAGAGGAAGAAAGAGTTCCGGGAGATCATGGACCTGAACCACGACGGGCAGGTGGACATGAAGGAGATGGAGGTATAGGGGTGTCGTTGTTGTTGTTGTTGGTGGTGGTGGTGGTGTTGTGGTACAGGAGTGTTGTTGTTGTTGTTGTTGTATGGTGAATATGAAGGAGATGGAGGTACAGGGCTGTTGTTGTTGTTGTTGTTGTTGTTGTTGTTGGTGGTGGTGGTGGTGGTGATGTTGTTGTTGTTTGTGTTGTTGTTGTTGATGTTGTTGTTGTTGTCATTGTTGTTGGTGTTGTTGTTGTCGATGTTGTTGTTGTTGTCATTGTTGTTGTTGTTGTTTTTGTTGATGTTGTTGTTGTTTTTGTTGTTATTGTTGTTTATTGTTGTTTTAGGCTAAAACAGCACCTGGACATGGATGGCTGGTGCCTCTATAAATAAATCATTGATGGTCAGGATTGTTGTTGTTGTTGTTGTTGTTGTTGTTGTTGTTGTTGTTGTTGTTTGTTGTTGTTGCTGCTGTTGTTATAAGGTGGATATGAAGGAGATGGAAGTACAGGAGTTAAATAGATTCTTTGGACTTTTTCTCGTTCTTTTTTTAAAAAATTCTTCTAGTTCTCGTTGTTCTTGTTTTTTCTTTTTCTTGTTGTTCTTCGTCTTGTTCTTCTTTCTTGTTCTTGTCCTTTTTTATGTTTCTTGTTTTTCTTTTTCTTCTTCTTCTTCTATCAAAAGACCTACACACTGCGTACAGTAAACTTTAGCCACACACATATCAAAAGACCTACACACTGCGTACAGTATACTTTAGCCACACACATATCAAAAGACCTACACACTGCGTACAGTATACTTTAGCCACACACATATCAAAAGACCTACACACTGCGTACAGTAT